TCCTCCTTTCCCTACTGAAAATGTCCAATCCTTCATCAGAACAGCTTGTTTTAGACCCATCTCTCTCAAGGTATGCCCATTCTGGAGGATCAAGTGGATCACATTCCGAATGCCTCCAATGGCAGCATGCTGGCTCGCTTTCCATTCTGCATCCTCAGAGTTGTCATGGAGCTGGAGACAAGCAGATGGCAGTAGGACAGCACCTTCCCCTGTTCCCTAGCTCTCATCTCCAGAGCAAGAAAGTCAAAGCTCAGTGCAGTGAGCAAATACAAGTGCTTCCAGAGAAGCGCCTGAGTGCCTGGCCTCTAGCCAGGACCTGGCATTTAGTAGATGTGCAACACTTACTTGATGAACGGAACCATGAAGGATACTTCTCCTGAGGTACAAATTTTTTCACCTATAAAATGGGACTATGATTGAACTGGTGATCTCTGAGTTCCTTTTGAGCAGTAAAATCCTCTACCACCAGCCCAGGACTCTCTTTATCCCATCTTGCTTTCTTTTCCTATGGATTGTACCACTATCTGGCCTATTTTATTTATTTGCTGTCTACCTTACCCCTACCTTACCCACACTTACCCCCCTAGAATACAAGGTCCTCAGGAGCAAACATATTTGTCTGCTGTATTTACCACTGTATTTCCAGCAGTAGATATATAACATTATATATAATAATCAATGAACAAGTATCTTAAATGAATGAATGAATGGATTCTCAAATGAGAAAACTTTTAAAGACCAGAGGGCTTTAGTAACTTTCCCAAACAACTCAGGCAGCAAGAAGAGGAGTTTGGATCAGAGGTACCTTGACTCAGAAGCCCAGGCTCTTAGCAAGTATTCTATATGAATGAGTTCGATTAACTCAACAAATTTTTCAGGGGGCACATAACACAATCCAGGTGTAAAAAATGGGGTATTTTTGGTGCCACTGCCACAGCTTGCTCGGCAAGAAATGGATGTATGGCTGATAGGGAAACTGATATGATTCTCAACAAAGCCTGCAAATTAATCATACTTAATGAATGTGACTAATGTGTTAAAGGAAGGAGCGATTAAAATATTAGCATCTCTGAACTTCTCCTCCCTGGCTAATTTGTACTCCTCCCTAGGGTTACCATCTTTCAAAGAGGTAGGGGCACAGAGTTATGGAAAGAGTTTTAAGGGACAGAAATTCATTTTCAATGGCTTAGATTGGGGACAGTCTGTGCAGTTCTCACGTGGCTGCCAGTCTTCATGTCTCACTGCTCAAGCAAGGGACATCAGCTGATGGGACAGCCTGCAACTGTCACAACGGCTGGAACTGGAGATGGGAAGCCAGGCATTTCCCTAGTTAATGGGGTGGAAACAGGCACAGGCATGAGCCCCTTTGGCAGAGAGGCAGCTGCCTTCTGTGTAGACACAAGGTGAACTGAATGTGGCAGGGGAGGCACATTCCTTGAGGTGGACCACACACCCAGAATCATGGGCATAACTGCCATGTTATAAATAAGAGAACAATCCACTACTCTGCTACACCCCCTGCATAACCTATTCCCTGATGGAAGCATCAAGATGGTAGGGAATAGGAAGCATCCCAGAATACAACTCACATTCTTGGAATTAGGAGATTCCACTGCTTGTTTGCATCCTATAACTTTTAGCAGTGGATCAAGCTTCATCACGATATCTGGAAAGTTGAGTCCCCTACTCAGGTAGAGTATACTCGGATAGGCAGGTAATGTAACTGATGAAGTGGACACAATGGGAAAGAACCCAAACCAGCAGGCAAGTGACTGCTCTGCTAACAGCACCCAATATTTTTCTTTATGTGAAGAGACAGATACAACTGTGGTTACATCTTTCAAGTTTTGAAGAAAAGACAAATGTGTGTGTGTGTGTGTGTGTGTATGTGTTAATTTCCTATTGCACTATAAAAAAGTTAATGACTTAAACCAACACAACTATTTCATGATTCTGGGGGTCAGAAGTCTAAAACTGGTCTTCAGGGCTACATTTCTTCTGGAGATTCTAGGAAAGGATCTGTTTCCTTGCCTTTTCCAGCTTCTATCAATCACCTGCATTCATCAGTTCCAGGCCTCCTCTTCTCCTTCTTCCCTCTTATAAGACCCTGTGATTACACTGGGCCACCTGGACAACTCTGGATAATCTTCTTATCTCAGGTTGTCTAATCACATCCTCAAAGTCTCTTTGCCATGTAAGGACAGGTAACATTCCCAGGTTCCAGAGACTAGGACATGGGAATCTCAGGGAGAGGGTGGTGGCAGGTACTGCTCTGTGTATCAGTGTGTATGTAGATGACTCACAATCTATAAATGTTAGCAAATAATTCTAAGGTCTGTAGCACCATGTATACCTGTTCAATAGGTCTCTAGTGGAACTGACAGAGGAGAGAATAGGTGTCCAATATATGACCCCTGACATCTGATTGAAACAAACCATCCACTGGTTAAAACAAAGGCTTTGTGTTGTACCTCCCATTGCATTTGTCCATCTATATACTTTGTTTTTCAGATTTCCTGATTACTGAGACCATTACCAAGTATTTATGTTGTGAGGTCTATTGCTATTTTTCTTTCTACTTCACAAAAACAACAGCAAACACTTATTAAGCTCTTGTTGTATGCCAAACACTGAGCTATGTATTTCATATCCACTAGTTTAATCTGCATAACAATTACATTTTTCTCTGTATTTTACAGATGAGGAATCTGAAGCAGGGCACTGCCCAAAGTCACACAGTTAGTAAAGGGCATAGCTAGTATGTCAGCCAAGTTGTTTGTATCCAGAGCCTTAAAGATGTTCAAGGAAAGAGTAAGCAGAACCATGAAAGTTAATACTGTAGTCTCCTGTAAAAAAGCCAACAACGACCAAGTGGGAAGTCAGGTCAGCCTCCGTAGGTCCAAGTTCCAATATACCTGCCACTCCCAGATGTTAGCTTCCTTTCTTTCACCAAAGGACAGATATGCAGCCACAGAGTTACTCTTCTCTCTGCTGAAACATTGGACTAGCACCCAGAACAAACAGGTTCTTTTATTTATCAATGATGTGTCTTTGGGTAGGTCATTTGTTTTCTCTAAGTTTTAGATTATTCATCTAGAAAATGGCGTTATGATGATGGATGTTTACATAGCACTTACTTATGTGAGGCACAGTCCTGTGCATTTTACATCTATTGAGCCATTTAATTTTTAAAATAACTCTTTGGGGTAGATACTATTATTTTCCTGATTTTGCAGTCTAAAGCACAAAGGTTATATAATCTGCCCTAGGACCTAGTTAGTGAGTGGTAGAGCTGGGACTAAATCCGGAAAGTCTGGAGATAACAATTTCTGACCTGCTCTCCCTATAGAAGGCAGTGAAGACCTTGTGAAGGTTCATTCATTCTTCATTCACTCTTATCACCCTCTAAGAGCTGTTAGGAATTGAGCAATTTAACGTGAAGCACTCAAACTATGCATGGCTTGTTGAGTTGTTCTGGAAGTGTTTGTTTTACCCTTCTGTTGTTTTGGGGAGCAAGCTCTGTGCTAGCTGTGTGACAAGCCTGGTTGGGGTGACTCTTGAGGAAGCAGCTCTCAGTCTTACAGTACAACACAATCCTGGAGGCTACAAGGATGGCACTGAGGAAAGTCAAGAAGAAAGTGGTCTGTGTGTCGTGAACCTAGAGAGGAACAGCAAGAGTCAGCAGGGATCAGAGGAATGAGGTGTGGCCCCAGAGGAGGTCCTGTTTAAAATAAAAGCAAGGCCAACAAACCTTCACTTGCTGCTTCCTTGTAGGTGCTTTGCTCATATCAGCACATTTGCTCCTTCCAGTAACTTTGCAAAACAGGTGCTAACAATACAGCCTCAACTTCTTTATGGGTGAGGAAACTGAGGCACAGAGAGGTCAGGAAACTTGACCAAGTCAGAGTGCATACAAAGGAGAGTCCTGTTGAGAAACTTCAGTGGTCCACATTTGCGTCATATCACAATTCTGCCAAATCTGTGTATTGCTTGTATCTGTATTTACTTAATAGTCAAAATAACTTTTTCTTTTTACCTAAAAGAACAATAAAAAACCCCTTTATTTCACGAGAATATAGGGTCTCACGAGAATATAGCCACCATGGATAAAAAGTAAATACCATCAAGATGAACAATATTGTTAAATTTTCTCCGGATTTAGTTTTCTGCAGAAAACTCTGAATACAAGGCGTATACTGAATTCAAGGCTAATTCAAGGGGGAGGTTAGTAAGTGTGGAGAGGAACTGAAATTATATTAGCACCAAACTCAAAGTTTCATTTCGGTGTCATCGCAAAGACTGAAGTAAAAAAGGAATAATTTTCTCACCATGAGACAGAAAGCAATCTCTTCCTGCACCCCATAAAGTATCACCCCGGGAAGCGGTGTTAAAAGCACTGACCCGGGAGACGGGCTACCTTGCTTCCCTGCTTGCTTGGCAATCTGGGCCGGACAAAGGAACTACAGAGACTTGTTTCCTCAATGGTAAAATGTCGCTAACAATTGCTGTTTCTTTATAGGGACGTTAATTACAAGCGAAAGAATGCAAGAAAACACAAAATCCAATGCATAGTAGATGCTTACTAAACTTAAATCATTATCATTATTAAGCTTTACCCACAGATCCATGGCCATTTGTCTTTAGATGATGGTAAAAAATCATTATGACAACTAGAAGTTACTATATTCTGGGTCATCTGTATGGAAGGAAGAATTTCCCCCATTTAAACTATTATATTTTTCATTATCTATAGGTCACCTTAGGTGAAGTTTTTAACTTAAAAATTCGCAAACTCAGCCCCTTTCTCCGGGCCTCCGTTGACCCCTACAGACACAGACCAGGACAAGGCCAGAGGAAGGATTAGGCGCCAAGTGCGGCCCCCTCCCCGACCCTCCCTAGCGAGGGCCCGTAGCCCTGCCCCACGCACGCCTCTCCCGGCTTGCTCCGCCCCGCGGGGCTCCGCTGTGGCCGGCGCGCTGACGTCACAAAGCTGCGCCTCCTCGAGTCTGCGGCACGGGGGGGAAGGTCGTCCCTGTGACCGGCTCAGCAGTTGGAAGTTGTCGCCATGTTGTCGGTCGCCGCCCGTTCGGGCCCGTTCGCGCCCGTCCTCTCGGCCACGTCCCGCGGGGTGGTGGGCGCGCTGCGGCCCTTGGTGCAGGCCTCCGTGCCCGCCACCTCGGAGCCGCTGGTGCTAGACGTGAAGCGACCTTTCCTGTGCCGGGAGTCACTGAGTGGCCAGGCCGTGGGACGGCCTCTGGTCGCCTCCGTGGGCCTCAATGGTGAGCCGGGTAGAGGGGGCTCCCCTTTCTGTCTCCCTGCGACCTAGACCCGAGGAGCAGCCTAGGAGGGCGGTGCTGTTTGTTTGGGAGGATCAATTGCTGGACCGGGCGACCTTGGGCAGCGCTGCTCCTCCGCGGGCCTCGGCCTTCTTGGCTGTGGACGCGCTGAATGGGGCGCCCTGGAGTGATGCTGCCGCGCTGGCGTCCTGGCCTGTAGGGGTTCTCTGCATTGGCCCAGTCTGGGCTTCCAGTGTAGGCTAAACTTTTACCTCGTCATGCATAAAGTTCAAGATTCAGATGTCCTACTACTGCCAGCAAAGTCTGACAGTAATATTGTTACTTACATGTAGTTTGACCTTGGGCAAGTTTGTAAACGTTTTCCTCATCTGCGAAATAGATTCGTGCTTCTACGAATTTCGTAGGGTTGTGAGGCTTACACGAAAAAGTTTTATAATAAATGCTCAAAAAGAATGAGCTGTTACTAGGTTTGGGGACCTTCTCCATTTCACTATCAGTTCCTTTAGTCTTTCCCCTTCATTGATCCCTGTTTCCCCAAAACAGTAACACACAACTTCAAGGTCACTTAAGGTGTAGAGGGTCAGCAGTGTTTACAGGCCCTTGGCCAAAGGCCTTTGACTGCATATTGTAAACCTCAAGAGGAGGCAGAGGTTGCTGTGTAACAGGCTACAAGAGATAAAATGACAAGTACAGGGATACATGGCGTGGATGGATGTGACAGGACTGAAAGTGTAAGCCATTGGTTTTTCCCAAGAGTTTATCATAACCTCTGTCAGAAGATCCCAGTTTATCTTCTGTTCTGTGTCTTCATTTCTTATATTTTCTGAATTAGAGATTGTGAAATGGCAGTGTGTGGGCACTTACTAAAAAACTGGAGAAACTTACGGAATCTCTTAAAATATTGGAAGCTGGCAAATCTAGGCCCTAGTTTCTACGTGGGTATAGTCTACCCTGTGGTATGTATTGGGTGGTCCCATAGTTATCTAGGGTGGAGTTCACAGTCCTTATCAAGTTACTTGTTATTTTGTGTTACCTGCTTGGTTCCATTGCCATTTGAACTTGTTACCCTTCTGCATAGGGTACTCAAGTTGCCCTCCTTAGACACCTTTTTACTCTGCACTCATTCACCCTATTCTCCACATTTTTTTTTCCCAGAGACTAGGTCTCACTGTGTTGCCCAGGCTGGTCTTGAACTTGTGGGTTCAGGTGATCTTCCCACTTTAGCCTCCAGAACAGCTAAGATAACAGGTCATTACCACCAGGCCAAGCTTCTCTGCACTTTGAAAGATTCTCCCACTCAGTTTTCTTACCATCCTTTCAATCTCAATTTAGGATGGGTCAATAAAATTTTATATTTGTTCATTCTTTTATGTCTTTATAGCATGGAGTATTTTCCACTTTATATTGTGTTATCTGGGTGATCTCTGACCTTGAGCTTAAAGGGATAGAATTATCTCCTCCATTTTACTATGTCCCACCACCTTAGATTTTACAGTTGGCCCAGAATATTTGTGAATGAATGTTGAAGAAAACCTTTGTTTTGGGTAAGGAAGAAAAGTTTTAGCAAAGGTGAAAGGCATTTCTAGAATTTATCACATGACTAAAGGATTTCTTCTAAAAATTGCCCACCTTATTGAAATACTTATCAGGCAAATAATGTAGAACACAAAAGAACAGAAATCTCTTCTGAATTATGTCTTCAGGTTCACATTAACATCTGCTTTGATCATATGGGTAGTGACAGTATGGGAAAATTTGGAACAGTAGATCTTTGAGTTGGGAAAGAAGTTTGCATCATGGTAGCATCTCTTATGCAGATTTCCGAGGCATATCGGAGCTTACCTTAAAACCTTTAAAAAAAGTGTTTAACATACTTCAGATTATCTCTTTCTAGGCTACATTTCCATAAATACATGATCTTGCTTTAGGTTAGAACTAATCTAGCATTTCTGTTTAGTCTCAGACTTAATACAACTGGTGTGAATTGCTTAGTGATTTTTGCAACATGGCAGTTTAATATCCTAAAGCAGTGGTGGTGAACCTATGGCACCTACACTACAGTGGGCTGTTTGTATCATTGAAAGCTCTAAAAGGTTTGCCATTGCTGTCTTAAGGGTCCTTGATGTTATAACCTAATAATGTGTGTGCAACCTGTTAGAGAGGCCGTATACACCAAATTTCTGAGTGAGAATGACGCTCATTCTATTTAGTGTTCTTTTCCATTAGCTTGTATACTGTTAAGGATTAACAGAACACATATTCTAAAAGTAAAGAACTTTTAATGTCCTCTTTTCTAGAAAGGAAACTAGCATATTTTCTAAAAACATGTAACTTGCAAAGAGATTTGCATCCTGAAACATACTTAAAAGTGATAAATTTAGGTTTTGGGTTTTTGGGGTTTTTTTTTGTCAAATATTTACAAATGGCGTGAGAGGACGTAACTTGTTTTTAAACAAACTACTTGCTCCCCAAGTACTTTGTAGGCAGTAACTATTTTAGTTAACATTCATTTGACACAAACATTTGGCCCATTTTATGGCCTACAATAGAAGTATCCCACTTGCGGGACTCACAAAAATAAAATGAAAAAGACGAGGTCCTTAATCTTAAAGAAGCTCCTGCTCATAACTGAGGAGGGCAATATATGAAAAATTTTCTCTTTTCTCCCCTGGTAAATTGAAATAATTGTTCTTTATAGATTTCACATTGAGAGCTATGCACTGTATTCTGTTAAGGATGTCTTTTAAGGATGGCTTTCTCTGCCTATGGGTGACCGTACTTAAAATAATACTAATTTATGTTCTAAAGTCTAAATGGAAATTCTTAACTTTTAGAGAACTACACGTATTAAAAGATCAGAGATTATTTATTGTCTTTTCGTGTAATATTTTGTGAATTTTTTTGGAGTTCAGAGATCACATAGTTAAAAATATGAGGTTAGGCATTTGCCTTAAGATGACTGCGCATCAGCTTACCACATAGACTAGATGATAGGTGAGATTTGGGAGTCTCTGATACAAAGAATATTAGAAGCACTTAGCGTGATTGTGTAGTAGGCTTTAGCAGTTGTGGAAACTGAAGTATTGCTATTTATGGGGTATTTAAATTTTAATTCGGTGCACTGAGATGTTAGGAATTCTGAATTAGCTGTGTTCAGGCAGAAAGAATTCCTAAGTATTATATTTAGAATATATACATAGTATATAATATATATAAGTAGTATATTTATAAGTATTAGCTTCTGATTTCATACCAATATGATAGATAATAGTTAACTTCATTTTTTGTATTTTATATGCTAGCACTGCCCTTTTGACTATTCTGAGACTAGTATCGTGTTTTGCATTTTTAGAATTTGATTTTTTGCTTTTGAATCTGTGAAGTCTGTTTCCTGATGTATGCCCCATCAGGGTTTGCATCTAATGGTTTGCTAACCTCCTGTTTGTCTTGCAGTTCCTGCTTCTGTTCGTTACTCCCATACAGATGTCAGAGTGCCCGACTTCTCCGACTATCGTCGCACTGAAGTATTAGATAGTACAAAGTCTTCCAAAGAGAGCAGTGAGGCTAGAAAAGCCTTCTCATATTTGGTAACTGCAACAACTACTGTGGGTGTCGCGTATGCTGCCAAGAATGTTGTCTCCCAGTTTGTTTCCAGCATGAGTGCTTCTGCTGATGTATTGGCCATGTCGAAAATTGAAATCAAGTTAGCCGATATACCAGAAGGCAAGAGCATGGCTTTCAAGTGGAGAGGCAAACCTCTGTTTGTGCGCCATAGAACCCAGAAGGAAATTGAGCAGGAAGCTGCAGTTGAAGTGTCCCAGTTGAGAGACCCACAGCACGATTTAGAACGAGTAAAGAAACCTGAATGGGTTGTCCTGATAGGTGTTTGTACTCATCTTGGTTGTGTACCCATTGCAAATGCTGGAGATTTTGGTGGTTATTACTGCCCTTGCCATGGGTCACACTATGATGCCTCTGGCAGGATCAGGAAGGGGCCTGCGCCTCTCAACCTTGAAGTTCCCACATACCACTTCCCCAGTGATGATTTACTGATTGTTGGTTAGAGACTTGGACTCAAGTCCTAGGGTTCTTTCAGTCTTCATGTCTCTTCAGAAGAATTGAGAGCAAGCTGTCTGTATTTCAAGTTGGTTAATTTGAAACGTTTAAAAATTGTTAATGTATTTGCAAACATTAATGTAAAGTGAATTGAATTTAATGTTGAAAACGTTCAAGCATTCACTTAATAAAACCACTGCTAAACATTGTTAAGCTCAGTCATAGACTTAGCAGGTACAATGTCTTTCATAACTTAATTCTAATTAAATGTTTCAGACTGATGTACAAGATTTTTGTGAAATTTATAATTGACTTTCTCATTTACTTGTCCAAATATTTGTTTCCTGCTGTATGTCAAGGCACAGATTCTACATAGCTTCTTGTTAGGATGGGTAAAATTAGCTGGTCATCTCTAAAGTGATTTTTCCTTTTTTTTTCCACAGGACTCAGTAAATGTCCTATGTTCTCTTGCATTGTAATCTTTGTGATAATGTTGAATGTAATCTATGGGAAAGGGTACTGCAGAGGTATTGGTACCTCTGAGGGTTTTCCGTCAGGTGAGGTTAGCTGGTTTTGTTTGCCTGGGTGATAGGCTATGAAGTTTTTAGTTTTTATTTTTATTTTTTGGTCCCTTATGGAAGTAAGTTAGTACAGTACTTAGAATTCTTTAATTTTAGGAGGCAGTGATGGGGTAATATCTGAGAGAAGCTTTCCAAAATCAGAGTGCTTCTCTGTTAATTCCTTCATTTCACTTTGGGGGTGTTCATGTCCCTAATACTCCTGTGTCCACCCTATCAAGAGGCAGAAAGGAGCATCTGGGACTTAATACTGTGTTGTAACAAATGACCCTGCTGGTTTTGTTTGTAGTGATTACATTTTAGGAGTTTCTTCCAGTTAGGTTTGTATGACTCATCACTTCACTGTAAGGAGGTGGGGTTTGAACATATCAGCATCAACATCTTATTTCCTTCTGCTTCCTGTCTAGAACTGGCATCAAACAGTTAACAGGTGAAACAGGACTGAGGTGTGGTACTCCCCTTGGAACAGGGAGTGGGCTTTGCCCTTTGTTGAACATCACAGCTACTTTTTGATGGGTTTGTCTGGCTCGGGTTGTTGGGAGGTTGGTCAGTAATATATGCACTGTACAAAATCTACCTTTTTTTTTTTTTTCTGTGGTACCAGGCGTCGAGCTTGGGACCTTGCCCTTGCAAGGCAGGCGCTGGAACCACTGAGCTAAATCCCCCGCCCCAAATCTACCTTCTGATCACATGCACACTTGTGAACTACCAAATGAGGTTAGGGCTGTCCAAAGGGAACTTACTATCATCATTTAATATTAGCAGCTAAGTCTTTGTCAAAAAAGGAAAATGCCAAAGTTTCTGTTAATCATTCTAGAAGTAATTACTAAGTATGGTAATTGACGTGGGGGCATGGAAGTACTATTTTTTTTTTTGTTTTATTCATTGGTACATTTTATTGTTGCACTTTAGGTATACAATACGTTTACATTTCTCATTGGGAACTTGTACTTTTACATGATGCATCTTGGTTCTTATTTTTTCCCCATTCCCAGCCCTCTCTTCACCCCCTCCACCCTTCCCTATTTACAAAGACTTTGTTTCCATTTTCTCCATTTCTCATAATTTTTCCTTTCCCTTCTTTCCCCTGTTCCTCCCACTTCCCCTACCCCTTTGGACCTTTTCTTCCTACTATTTTCTAAGACTCCACATAATGGATTGTGTTCTGGTATTGGGCCGGAGCAGAGCAGGGATATGAAACATTCAGTTGTGAGGGAGACAGATCCACACATTAAAAAAATTGTGTTGCCAAAAATGTCAACAACACTCCTTCCTTACAGAGTATATTGATACCCATCCCAGACTACTGCCTCCAGTCCTCAACTGATTTTGGAGTGCCAGATATACTGCATTAAAATCTACATGGTGATGGAGGACAAAAGTAAGTTCACAGGTCTCTTCAGTGTTGCATCCCAGGTACCCTGAGCTGAAATTGCTGTATCTTGTGGGCTGCTTATGTCTGATGATGTTTTGAGTTTCATGATGCCATACAGTGAAATCGCAGTAATATTTAATTTTAAATGAAAGCTTTGTTCCACATGTGGCAAGATAATTCAAATCATTTGACTTGGACCTCTACAGTTTGCTAAGTGGATAGAGCAGACCTAATGTTAGCTTTTTTACTTAGTTACAGAAACAAAATCATAAATATTAGGGAGAAATGACTTGCAGTGGAGGAAATCTGACCAGTTGGTATCCTGATAGCAGACCATTAGAGGAATTGCTTTTTGCCGGGAATCATTCTTGAGACAGTATTGAGGCTCAGCCCCTTTCATTATGTTTTTAAAAAGCATGCTCTAGAAAATACATTATTTGTAAATTTTGCGCTATTTATTAGAGATAGATATCTGTAAAATCTTTGACTCAATCTGAAATATAAAGGGAATATGTCCTTATTTGGTATTTATGACTTGGGATCAAAATGCTTTTAGTACACTCATTTTTCTAAACAATGGGAATATACATCTGATTGTTAGAAGTCATTCTCTGTTTTTCTAGTACTAAATCTCATTTTTTTGTATTTTCATGTATTTGAATTTTATTGCATTTCGTATATTAGTCCCAAATAAAAGTCCATATTTTTAGAATGAAAAATACCTTTAGCATCTGCTTTACCATTCACATTTTATTACTGTAGTTATTATTCCCCTATCTCGCTTCCCTGAGGTTCACATTTGTATTCAGCTGCACACTGTAGGTGTCTATTTGTAGATGTCCTGTTAAAATAGGTAATCTCTGCCACAAACTAATTTCTTCACCAATGGTGGTCTGCTTAGTAAACTCCTAGGTAAGCTAAAAACTTGGTAGTCTTCCCTGCCTTCTTTTCCATTACCTCCTCTCCCTGGGCCCAAATCATTCCCCAAACCTTACTAATTTTAGTCACCTCAGCGTAACATCTTTTATTGTCTCTGTCATATGTACCATTAATGGCTAGTTTGCTTAGAGTTACATATGTGATCTCATTTAATTCTCAGGAAATCTTATCAGGTAATAACTGCTATTACTAGTTTATAGATGGAGAAACTGAAGCACAGAAGTATCTTCTTTTGGTTTTTTTTTTTTTTGGTACTGGGGATCGAACACAGCTCCTTGTGCTTGTGAGGCAGGCATGGTGCCATGGAGCTAAATCCCCGGCCCAGGCACTGAAGTATCTTATCTACCATCAGCTGATATGTTGATGGAACCAGAACTTGTTTTAATTTGGGGAATCTTGAGTCCAGAGCTTGTAGGACTGTTTGCTATGCTTTACTACCAGCACTTAAGATTGAGGCCTTGTCAGTTTTTGCCTGGACTACTGCAGTAAGTCCAAACATTTCTTCTAATCCTGCCTCCTTAAAATTCCACATAGCTTCACATAGGTGTAAAGGGTTGGTTCTGGGTTCTAGTCCTCTGCCATTTCCTAGACATATGACCATATATAAATTACTTGAACTCTGAGGCTCTTTTCCCATATCTGAAAATGACCTTTCAAGGTTGTTTTAGGGATTAATGCACTAAATGTGTCAAAGGATGACGTTAAGACTTTAACATGGGCATTCTATAATGTCCTTACCTGTGTCCCATCAGTAAATCTTTTGCTTCAGTAACAACTTGCTTGTTATCTATGTTTTTTGCCCTTTCTGCCTGATGCTCTTTATTTTCCCTTAGCCAAGTTGTCCACTGATGGAAGGATGACTCCCCTAAATTACATCCACTGTTCCAGCAAGTTTTCCCCAAACAGCCATGATGTATTCATGTGGGTATTTGTACTATACTGTGGAACCTACTTGCCTGGTCAGCCATTCAGACTGAGGGACTGTGTACCCTGGCAGATGCTCAACCACTGAGTGCTGGATGGGAAAAAAAAGTGAATTTCTGAGTGGCATTAGTTGAAGGGGACATTTTCTGGGGACTTTTCTGGATACCATGTCTTCTAAAAAACCAGAGCAAGAGGTTGGGGATTTAGCTCAGTGGTTGCATTGCCTGCCTCGCAAGTGCAAGGCCCTGAGTTCGATCCCCAGTACCAAGAAAACAAAAACAAAACAACAAACCCAGAGCAATCCTGTAGTGTGTATCCTCTCTAGGACTTTGAATGGGAGCAGAGCTGCTACAGGATTTAAATTTAGATTTTTCTTCCCAGAAGAAAAAAATTGTAATAAATTCAAAATCTTAAGAAACAGATTATTTTACTTTAGTTATTTCTATTTGCTTCATAATGAACATTCTTCTGCCTATATAAGATCTCTTTGTCAAAAGGTTCGTCCTCTAGTGTTTCATTTCTAAAACTTAAATACAGTGGACCTCATTTCATTACTTCTATCATTTTATCTCTTATTTTCTTTCTTGGGGTTTAAGAGGGGAATGTTTTGATTAAAAATAAAACTGTCAAACAGGTGAATTGATCAGGAAGGATTGAGGATTATTTTCTCTTTTTTAATACTTGGCACCATTTATTGTAGAATAAAGATGTTTTCAGCACAGTACTGCCAGAAATGTGAGGTTAAGATGGTTTCTAGTCCAGATACTTAGAACTAAATATACAACAAAAGAAAGGCTATTCGAGTGCTTGCTTCTGTGAATACATATTATAAAATAGATTATTATAGATCTGAATTCTCTGGTCTGAAGCACAAGATTAAAATTAATTATGTGAAGGGCTTTAGCAGCATCTTTGTAATAACTTCTCCATAATAATCAACATAAGACTGTTCTATCAGTGAACTTAAAATCCCAAATTCAATAAACTATGTATTTTTGCAGCTATTTTCTTAATCTTGGGTCAGTCAATTTGTGTGTAAAAGCTTACAGTCATCTGCCCTTTGAAATTCTTGTCTGATTAAGAATATTTGCAAAGGGTAAAAAATGAAAGTGTGTAAGTAATAGGTTTTTCATACATTTTTAAGAGGGTAAACTTTGATTCCTTAATTGAAGTGAGAAGAAAGCTAGTGCATTTAACAAAATTGTCCTTTCTGGGGTGAATATTTGAAATCTGCCATTTTCTACATCTGCACATGGCTAAAATTTCAACCTGTACCTCTCCCTTCATAAAAGAGGGCCTTTCTTAGTTCCCTGCTTGACACTCCTATGGCTCCTATTTGGCCATTTGGGGAGATGACATTCTGAAGGCCCCACCTTATCTCAGTACAAGAAAATCGTGTTAGGGACCACATTCACCTTAGTAAAAGATATCCTTTTAGACTTTTTCCAAAGAAAAATCTCAAATGCAACAGTGCATATTAAAGGCATGTAAACTGTAAAGCAAGATTTAGTGAGTTACACTACCAGGGCAATAGATGGCATTTAGAATGTGATTAGGTATGCAGAAAAGCAATTTAGGTGGAGGTAGGTCCCTATCCAAACAGATTCATGAATTAAAGATTGGTATGAATCCTGTATTCTCAAGCTTTGGTCCCTGGAAGTTCAGATTTGCATGTGTACTGGGTTTTGATGTTAATGGAGAGCAAAACTGAACTCATCCATAGTAATCAGTCACATTAAATTCTCTCCCCTTCCATTTATATTGGAAGGATTCATATAATTTCGAAAGCTGGTTCTTTGAAAAGACCAAGAGAATATAAAGCTTTTGTAAGCTTGATTCAAGATGAGGAAAGAGCCAGTCATTACCAGTTGGTGAAAGGGATTGTAAGAGTAATAGAAGAATCCAACTCTAGCAGTAAGGTTGTAAGGATGAGGGGTTACAGACGACTTCTTGGCAAAATATAAAATGCCAAAATTGACCTGAGTAGTAGAAACTGTGAATATACCATTTAACATAGATAAAAAGTATAAAGTTATCTTGATTGGATGGCTTCGTATCTTGAATTCTGTATGACTTAAAAAAATTCCAATGATGTTTAAACTTTAAATGATCTTCAGTTAGAACTTCTCCAGTCTTACTGTGCACACAACACAACTGGAGATTTTGTTAATGTGTATTTTCATTTTCCGGCCAAATTTAGGGCCTGAGATTATGTATTTCTAACAAGTTCCTAGGTGATGGACAATACTTAGAATTAGCAAAATTCTACACCATGGGGGAGGACAGAAGTGGGTAAACATAAATGGGAATGGAAACTCAACAGTTATGAATTCACTGTAAATTTAATATTAGAACCTTGTATTAAATACTATATAAAAATAACACCAGTGTCATTTACTGAACAAATGAAAATTCTAAATAAAATATTGATAAATCTAAAAATGTAGCAAAAAAATAATAAACCTTGATCAAGTAAGGTTTATTCTAAGAATACAAGGTGGTTTGGTATCAACACTGTTTATTAAACTAATAAAGATGAAATGAGTGTAGAAAAGTCATTCCTAATATAAATTAAATAAATAAGAATAACTTTAAATATGAAAAGCCATATTTACTAAAATCCAATAACAAATATTCTAAGTCCTGAAACACAAAGATCAGAACTAGCTAATGATACTCACTATCATTAATATTACTTAACACTATTTTTTAAGTTCTAGAAAATGTGGAAAATAGGACAAGAAAACTAGAAAAGAGAAAAAGAACACTATACTTTTGGGTGATAATACAGCATTTAATTGTTACTGTCATGGTACTAAGAGGTGGAACTTAAAGAGGTGATTAGGTCATGAGCACTGTGTCCTGGTGAATGGATTAGTGCTGCTGTCACAGAAGTGGGTTAGTTATGGTGGGAGTGTGCTCATAAAGGACAAGTTTGGCCCCCCTTCTCTCTCCCTTTTGCTCATGCTCACTTGCTGTTACTCCATATTAAAAGGCAACAGGAAGGCCCTTGCCAGATGTCATAACTGTGATCTTGGACTTCTAGCCTCCTGAATTGTGAAACAAAAAAAACTATTTACAATTTACCCAGTTTGTGGTATTGTTACGGCAGTAGAAAATGGACTTAAAACAACGTGTAAACTGCTCTTGAGTGAAGATTGTGTTTTATTTAAATCAATATCCTCCATATTGAACAATGCCTGGAGCATCATAAAAATAAATAATAAATTGAATGAATGTGACCTAAACCCCCATAAAACATGGACATATTTAACAAATAATGTACATGACTCAAGTGGCAAAGTTTAAATCAAAATCTAAACAAATGGAAAGATAGCATGGCCTTGAGTGGGATTACTTATTTTCATTGAAGTCTTGTGCCCAAATTAGCATACACATTTAACAAACTTCCAGTTAGACTTTTTACAGCATTTTTAAGCTGTTGTTTTACTTCATTTAGGATAAATGATCACAAAGTTTGCATAGAGAAATTAATATCCGAAATAGGAACAGTATTAAAAACAAGAATGAAGGTTTGCTTCAGATATGAGAACATAAAAAAATAATTGTGGTCAAATTAATATGATATGGGAACAACAGGGTGTGAAAAAAAATGGACTGTAAAGAAATAGGTCTCAGGGTATATGAGAATTAAGTATAAGGAAAGCAATTTATTTCAATGGGGAAGAGAATAGTTTAATAAATGGTGCCGGCAAAACCTATGACCTACTGTCCATGTGGAAGAAAATAGAGTTGGACCCTCACTTTCATATGTTTAAAAATAAACACCAGAGATACTAGGTTCATGTAGAATATTGTTTAACGAAACTCTTGGGAATTGTATATGTAGTCGAAG